GCTTTACTCCTTTGTTTGAAGAAGACCGAATATAGAACAAAAAAATAAAACGTGATAATATATTAACCCAAAAGAATGCACCAGGGTTTCGGCCCCTGGTTCGTCAATGCGGTGGCCTAAAGGCGTTCTTCTGAATGGCCCACCGTCGACCATGATGATAACGAAAATCTGTGCAACAAACTGAATTGAAGCTGAGATGTTGGTTGGAGATATATGAACCAATACGAGGAATAATGTAGTGCGACATACTGAAAGTAGCAGTGTATGAATGATGAGATTTTCAATTTATCACTGGGTGCGATAGCGGGATTAAATGGCAAATGTTGATCATTTTTTAAGGTTTTAATCACTGGCAAATGAGTGCATCGTCAGGCAATACCTACGTCCGAAGTGTGTTCAGATTCTGTCTGCTGAATCGATGAAAAAAATATTTTCAGACAACGTAGGTAATAATCTCTATCTCGCAACGTATATAGATTAACAGTGCCACGTTGGTGAAATATCCTGTTTTTATATAGGACATGGTTGTGAACAAGGATCATTAAGCCAGAGTACGTATTCGACCCTAATGATACTTCCCGACGTGCCGCTGGCACCTCAGAAGCGGAACGCATTGAAAATGTAAACTCCTTATTTTCAACCGTTCTGTTTTTTTACTTTTGCTTCTTTCAAGTCAGTCTTTACTTTTCCCTGCTTCACTTTTCTTTCCTTCGTTGTCTCTTCTGTTCTTCCATTTTGGTCTTGCCAGATGACTTTGATTTGTCTAGTGTTCCAGCATGATGTTTGCGCCCTTGGGCATTTCTCTTTTTTTGGTCGGGCCGCGCTGTTTGCACCTTCTAGCGCGCCAGGTCACTGCTGTAAATTTGGAATTAGTAAAAACGGACAGTTGTACCCTAACGTTTCTTCATCAGGGCCTTATCACCGGCCGTTTTTAGTTTATCACAGGTACAATAGAAATGCTCCACTAATACATTTTGTCTTGTAGAACATGAACAAGTGATTGAACGCTGTGAGTGGCAATGCCTTTTCTAACGAATCAAGAAATCCGACGTTCATTCGTAAATTGTGAGGGTCAATCGCCGCATAAACTTTCATGAGCAATGAATATTTGAAATTAAAGTTCAGAAAGAAAGCGTTCGATTAATGCAACGCATGATTACACTGCTTAGAAAGTTGAAGAAAGATTTTCATTTAGAACTGAATCAAAAGCCACTAAAAATTGCAATGTAAATTGAGAGGGACAATCGTAGAAGCTTTCTTTTCCAATGAGTTTTGTATTTATCCTCACTCTAATGGGGATCTAAGCTACTGCAGTACTTTTCTCGAATTACAAGCCTTTCAAACCTGACCAATGTGTTAGAAAATCCAAACCAGTTGTGACAGTCTGATAACTCAACGTAGTGTCTGTGTGACTGTACAGTTACTGTTTGGAAGTCCCACGTTTAACGGGGTAAGATTCTCGTGTATCGTCCCATGACTAGCGAGAGCAACGGCATTAAAGTCAATCTGGCTTGGATGTGACTTCCCACTACCATCTGGAAGCTACTCTTGAGCGCAGGTGCACCACTGTTCTTGGCAAATCGCTTAGGCGCTTCATTACCCCGCGCATCAGACGGCGTCTGTAAGAAAACAACACGATCAGAAAGCAACGGTCATAATCTGGAGGCCCATTGGTGCGCATGACCAGGAAACTACCTTCTGATTGTTGGATGTAATTGCACATTCGCAGACTACTGAGAAATACAAATTGAGCCTTCGATTCGGAAGTGGTTACTGCTAATGCAATTTTAAGTGCTCTTTCCAAATCGAAGAGAAAGTATGTATACTGGAGCGAACAGGAATGACACACAAATAATGCCTCCCCCCACGCATAAGCGCGAATAGCACTGCAAAAGCTTTAAACTGTTTTTCGTTCTTATTCAGTTCCTGTATAATGGTACAGAATGATGTACAAATAAAATCTGTATAGCTGCTTTAGTTGTCCGTTTGACGTCATCGCTTCCTTCTTTCCAGACACGATTCTCGAATGAACCCTTGCACTATTTTTTACTCTAAACACTGACTATCTCATGACGTAGTCAAAATACTGTGAGTTCCGTTCCTGTATGTATTTGAACAATGAGCATTTGATGCAATGGTACATTCGTTCACTCTCACATCTCCTAAACAGTTGTATCCCATCATCATTCGAGATCTTGAGATAATCACTTTGAGCCGTTTGCATAGGCCGATTCTGTCCGCTGCAATAGCTGTTTTCCTCTTTTCAATTGTGAAACATTTTACATATTTTAAAACTGACCAGATTATAAACCTGTCGTGTACAAACTGAAATTTTTCAATCCTGCAACTTTTCCTTGTTCTGGTTAATTATATCATGGAACCTCCAGTTTGTTGACGCTAACGAATCTTTACATTCAGTCATCATTTTCTCCTAACAAGGTGCTGATGTACTAAGAGAGGTAGTGACTTGCCACATATCAACATCCGAAAACAGATTATAAGACAAAATGAAATTGCAGAACTACAATTGTATTGCTTACCTCGTAGTTTTGATGCATTCTGGATGGTGACGTTGATCTGCTTCAGTTTGTTCAGCAGTTCGGCATGATTCGCGCAGTAAACGTTGTAATGAGTGACTAACTCATTGTTGACATGACGCAGTTCCTTATAGAAGCTTTTCATCTGGCTACTGAAAAAGAGACACTTAGTTTCTAGCAATGACTCGCTCTCTCCCTTACATATCATCCGTTAACCTCGCATCCTCTGCCCGTATCAGCATCGATTTTGCGAGGCTGCATTTTTCAGCGATTACTCCGGCAACGTTGCTTCTCACGAGGTAAATTTCATCTACCTTAAAATTAACTCTAAGCAAACTGCACACCGTAATTTTAATTGGTCTCTGAGTCATGCTAAAAAGCGACGTTATATAATTTTGGAAATTCATAAGTTTCAAGTCAACAAAAAATGTCAGCGGCTTGTTGCATGGTGGCACAGTGGCTATGAGGTCAGATTTGAAGCTCGGAGGTACCGGGTTCGATTCCACCAGACGGCATTTTTTGTCTTAACTATGAATTCTCTCGAGAAAATAATTTATTAACCATTGCTTCAGATCGGCGTTTCGTACTCGGTAGAACGTCACTTTTACAACCGAGGAGTCGGAATTACTGGCCTTTCTTCTTTCCGAGGTTGATAAATGAGTACTCCACCATGTGAACAGAAAACAGGAGATTATCGACTATGCTTATCACGTAGCTGTTGCTGACTACGCCTTTAACATAGGGCATTACTGTAGATGACATGCAAATGAAGATCAGTCCCCCTAACATTTACTTCATGGAACAAAGGCGGCATAAATGATTCCATCATGAAGTGCAAGAAAAACAGACATTCTAACGACTACAGACTTTTAATTTCTTCCATCCAATTTATCTCGGTTTAAGATAATAATAAACTGTTTAAACGATGAATCTGTGACAAACATCGCCCTTAACACCGAACATCCGTGAACAATCACAATCTCAATTACTGTTCGAAAAATTTTGGCTAAGCCTACGTTTTGCGTAACTTTCCGCTTTACCTAGTGTCATAAACATTTTCAACGTTTCAAGCAGTTTAAGAAATAAGAACTTTATTCGGTACTCACTTTTTTGAGCAGATCCATCAGCAGCGATACGTCAGATTTAAAATCAGCTTTGCTTTCCAAGTAACCTATGCCGAAGTCTGTTGCTATGGTCTGAATCAGCTCGCCGCAGACCGACATGTCGTCGCACAGTATTCTGGCCTCCCCGTCGCTGCTCATTTTAATGAACAGCATTCCTGAACCGTGTAGACTGAAAAATCTTGCCTGCAGCTCATCGCCCTCGATGTAGTTTTCTTCCGGGGTGAGAAAATTTGCTCTTAACCAATCCTCTAGCTGAAAACTTAGAAATTATCATTTGAATCACCACCATGGTGAATCTATTTATAATTTAATTCAGTAATCATTCATATATTAACAAAGCACATAATATTCAGCATACATTAATGCAGAAACGCTAAACAGCCCAAAACGGGTTGCAAACATGTTATAATTTACATTGACTCTCAGGCGACAGATCATCGCCAAGGTTTCTGCCTGATTCTCACAAACCTTCTGCAAGGTTTGTGCGATTATACAAGTTCAGCTGCGATTGACATTCGTCTGCAACAGCTGGGTCATTTTGAGTCAGGAATCGAGTTAAGAAGCTATTAATCCGTGCTGCCGCTTTAGTGGTTTACGGTAACAAGTGCGTGAGACTTATTCACTGTACTTGGGGTTCGATTCCTTTGTTGCGGTTGAAATTGTAACGGGGTTTTAATTAACGTATAATTGATGCCTCCTTCACGTGCCTGATTAGCAAAAGTATTTCGCCCACGATATTGTTTTTGGTATGCACGGTATCTGAGCTTGTTTCATACAGCAGCCTACTCTAAGAATCGCAAATTTACTTCTTTTCTGGGTGCTTCTTTTGGAAGTGCCACTAGCGCCCTGAAGATGATTCATCAGCTCTAGCTTGACAGGAAGATTTCAGTCCTTTGAGCAACAAACTACCGTGTTTCTTCTGTTTAATGATCATGGAGCTAATTCCAACCTAACTCTAACGTTTTTTCGCACAGTGTTTCTGGACCAAGTTTTTCTGCTATCTGCTAAGGTAATCAAAAACTACTCTAAAAATGTAATAAGTTAAAATTTACGGTAACAGCGAAAGGAATGGCGTTGTACCTGCAAACCTGATTTTCAAGTAGCAACGAGTACTTCACCAACGTTTAACGCTTAATGGAAGGTTGAGAGATGATTTAAATTAAGAAAAACATAGGGTCTGTCATAATTAACTTAACATAGCATAATTAACTAAGGATCAAAAACGAGGGCTGCAAAAACAGTACATTGAACAATGTTTCATCAAGGCGACCAATTTGACGTTCGACTCAGTTGTAACAGTGAAGAATTATTTTATAGTGATAAAAGTACAAATACCCTTTCTTGTCTGTCATTCAAATGGAAAGAAACACCGCTCTGAGGCTCAGGCGCATTTTCATTGCAAAGCGCGTACATTGAAAACCGCGGCAGCGTTCTGGTCAGTTCAAAAATGTGAAATTGAACACTGAAAACAACAAATACAGGCTGCTGCACTGAATACAGTACTTGTCAAATATGCGGAGTAAATAAAATTACCTTCACATCTTGTGTTGGTTTTTAATCAGCTATCAGATGAGTCAAAGTGAATTGCCTCCAGAAGGTACACATCAGAATCCATGACCGTATGCCTCACATGATTTGGCATGACCACACCGAGGCACCATTTAATCCCCATTATTAGCAGACCAGCGATATGTTACTCGTTTTTGGCTGGTTGCACTGACGCACAGTGGAACGACTTTTTTGTTCGAAAGAATTAACAGTTTATAAGAGAAAATTTACGTGTATTGTGCTTGAACCTGCATCTGCATGCGCAGAGCAATCTATTAACCTTCAACGCCAATGTCATCCACCTACCTCACAAAATCAACATATTTGAATAAATTTTTAATATCAAAGGATTGAATACTTGACATTTTGTAATTTAATCGGATCGAATCCATAATTGAAAGCAGAATAGACCCTTGGCATGTTTTGTCACGTTCGAATTCAATGTAGAACTGAATGATTAGATATCTGCGTGAACGAACAAATGAATTAATGATGGATGAACCTAATGATCAATGCGTCCATGTGTGAGTGAATGGATTTGTTAATAAATGCATGAATAAATTATAGAGGAACGAACGAATTTCAGTAATAAGTCTTCAACGCACAAGGTTTCTTGATTCAATGGTTTGAGGCGCGGATGGTTCATCAGTACAATTGCATATTCGAAACGTCCAGATTAATAAATTTGTTCGGCTCGTCTATTTTCCACTGAGCCAGAAGACTTCTTACTTAGACTTCAGTCTGAACTAGCTATGACTTTTAGAAGGAAATGAATCTGACAATAAACATAATGATACCGGATTGAATCAGCGAAAGCACCGTGTAGAGAAAGAAAAATTAATTTCTCACTCTACACCAACAGCTCTGTTGCATGACTCCCTTGCTTCTAGACGCCTAGGGGACTGCTTAAGCAGGCCACGACTCCATGGCATTTTAACGCCTGAACGCAGAGAGCGACAAAAGTGAATCTGAGTCAAAAACTTTTTTTACGAAAGATAATATCCCTGTATTGGAGCCTTAGCAATGAATTGTTGCTGATGTAACCTAGTCGTGAGTTTATTTCCTCGTCTGCGCTTGTTACTTCCTTTCGCTAAGCTCACCAAATCGCGGTGCCAAATGCTATAGTATAGGTAAGCTAATAATTCTGAAAAGAAGCCAGAAACAAACGGATGACGATGGAAAGAAGAACAGGACCAGATGACGAATAGGTCGACCCGGGTCGGCAGCCGAATGCCTCGTCATCTAATTAGTGACGCGCATGAATGAATCAACGAGATTCTTACCGTCCCTATTTACTATCTAGCGAAACAACAGCCAAAGGAACGTTGGAACGTTGAAATAATCAGCGAGGAAAATAAGCCCTGTTTAGTTTGACTCTAGTCTGGCTTTGTGAAGACACATGAACGGTGTAGCATAAGTGGGAGATCGGTTCGTCTGGTCAAAAGTGATATACCACTACTTTTATAGAAGAAAGTATGCCTACAAAGATAAGAAATTAGATGAATGCAAATATCACCTGTTTCTATAGCCAACCACTGCTTTTATATGCAAATCAATTGCTATATCTTTCTTTGGCCTAATCGGAATATCCAAAGAGGATGAAACTTTGTCCGCATCCGGGTGTACGACTTGGGACTCACCAGAAAAGGCGCCTTCGGCAAACAAGATCGCCGCTCGTATGATGGTGTCGTTGTTCGTCATTAGTTTCAGTTGAATACAAGGCTAAAAGTCTGAAATTACGACTGAATGGATAAATGTACATCAATATTTTAAATAATTTCTAGAGATTCAGAAATACCTGTCCCTTCTCACTTGCGGAAACCGTTCGACTACCAGAGTAATGGTCACATCACGGCATGTTACGATCGTGAAAACTTCCCACGCACACGAAAATGCACGGCTGATAAGACAATAACGATCAATAGTTAAGTTATGAGTGGAAAAATCCCTGTACAGTTTCAGAGTCAGTTTATCTACAAGAAAGACACGTCGATTACAGACCCTAACTAGAGGGAGGGGCAATCTCTTGAGTGGAACATCGTCTGTATTGCTGTCTAGAGAGTGCATTTTCTTTTTACGTAGGTTGCTTAATGTTGCCATTTCGCTCACTGGCATGCGAAGTTCCCGTTAAGATGATGACAATCTTGCTGTTCAAGAGAATAAACTTAGTATAATTTAAAATTTAATATGATATAATTCAGTATTGTAAGTCATCTTCTTTAAAATAAACATTACTATTGACCCTAACGAACAAATTTATGAGGAGCATCTGGCACTGAAGTTGCTGAAATACTATGGAGCCATTGTCTCCTTACTTCTCACCACCATAGGTAACTCTAAACCAAGAGGGGATATGTCCTTAAT